AGCTGGTATTTTATTCGAAACTTGGACCGATCGACTGACCCAGTCATCGTATTGTCTTTGTCCGAAGGCGGCAGTTGTCCGCCTCCAGCCCTTCTGCTCCTCCGCATCTTCTCCATATTCCAGATTTCTAGTTCTCTCAGTGCCAAAGCTCACTCCCACTCGTCCCCAGCTCGACTCCACTGCACCATCCCGCTGGTCCGTGTTCAGCTTCTTGTTTTGACTGACCACCCAGTCTGAGACTTGGGACGGAGTTTAGGCGACTGGAGGATCGGAGGTTCGCTGGTTAAAAGGCCAGGGTACCGTAACTGCAGGAGCGGAGTTGGGACGATTAGCTTATTGGAAGAGCTTATTGGAAGAGCAGGTTAAGTAGCGAGGATAACAACTCATCACTTTTTTCCATCCTCAAGCTTTGGCTCTGAGTGAAGTGCTTGGTATTATAAGCTGCGTGATTCAACAACTGGATATTCAGTTCATAATCAGAAACTCCTGTCTTTAACGGTGGATTCCACTTCGGACTTTGCGAGGCTTACCGTACCAAGGCGTCATATTAGCTCATGATTACTTGTGTAAATGAAATCGACTTCTGTCAGCGATACAATGTATCCTCGATGATCTTCAAGCAGGATGATCTTGCGCAATCTTACGTGCTGTACATAAGTACTTATCAGTATTTAATGTATACTCTTGCCTGTTGAACGTTTGACAATGACTGCGCTCTTCATACTTGCGCTACTTCTCACTATAACAGGCGCCTCACAACACCCTTTCCAATATACAGCTGAACATGATAGCAAAGAAGCGTCAACTCCATACCAGTTCAAATGGCCAATTCACAAAGTAGCAATCATAGGTGCTGGCTGCGGGTACGCATAAATCTTCTTTTTCTTATTCCTCATTTATATACATACCCGCATTAGTGCTCTTGTTGCCTACGGCGAATTCGCTCGAATGGGATATCAAGTTCGCATTTTTGAACGAGATTCTGTACCTGGCGGAACTGGCATTATTCAGAAGAAATCCCGCTAGACGCGCCCGTACCGAACCTGAAGCCTCCCGAAGCAGATTTCCGACCGCATCTTCCGCCAGAGAACGTGTTGTTGCCTTACGAGGAGGATTTTGATAATGTTGATCCGAGGGAGGTGGCTGAGATGAAGAGAGGGCAAAGCGCACCATCACCGATTTGGGATTCATTGGGGTCGACTGGGCCGAGGGTGAGTTGTTAATCAGGGATGCGTTTGATGCAGGATGATGACTCGACGGCTCGGATAATGTAGCAAGACACACAGGTTCGTCTTCCTCGTCATTTCCCTCTCCGCGCGTTTTTACCTTGATCAGTTTAGAGAATTACCATGGCCAGACCACATCCCAATAAGTAAAACTCTTGATTTTTGGGATCCAATATTCAACGATCTGACCCTTCTTCCTCCAGCGTTGACTCATAACCATCTCCAACGCTACATCCGAGCATTTGCCTCCTTCCACGGAGTCAACAGTAATGACAACAGCCCCAATGCTTCGTACAACACTCGCGTTGAGCGTGTCGACAAGCGTTACAGCTCTCTTAATGGAACCAAAGTCGAAGCTGGATGGACCCTTCTGCTGCGAAAATTCATCCAAACCGGGACGAGTTCTTATAAAGTCCGATGGTGGACAGAAGTGAGTCGCACTAACTGCCAGTGATTTCCAAGCCCAGCTTAATATTTTTCTTAGGATTTCGATGCTGTCGTCGTCTCTTCAGGGCGTTATAATGCTCCTAATGTACCTGACATTCCGGCCTTGCAGAATGGGCAATACAGTATCCGAATCTCGTAATACACTCTCGACAGTATCGTCGTCCGGAGGAGTTTATCAACCAGACTGTCCTGATCATAGGTGGCTCCGTCAGTGGGTCGGAAATCGCTGAGGATATTAGTGGGAAGGCGGGGAAGGCCTTCTTGAGTGTGAGAAAGGATGAAGGTGAGTACCGCTCTGGCTTTTCAATGCTATACAGCTACCTACTTGGTCTTGCTACCCAGATTCCGGAGTTTTGCAGGAAGCAAGAAAGAGATTACTGTCCAGAGTTCCCCGAAACGTCTCTATTATTCCCGAGATCAAATCTTTCCATTCGCTGCACAAATCGACTAGTTCTGGATCTGGATATGATTCAGGGATTCAGCCTGGTGTTGTTGAGCTGATAAATGGGACGGTGCGTTCTGTTCAACCTTTTCTATGTTGTATGATTCGAGTGCGTAACTGACTGTCGGCAATTTACAGGTGTTATCTGGTTTTGATCGGATTATACTGGCCACAGGTGAGTAGCCTTTCTCTGAGATTCTCGCGATTCTTGTTTGATCAACCACTAACAATTGTCTTCCCTTGTCATACAGGGTTCCGATATACGCTTCCTTACTTCCCGCAATACCATGATATTGACTTACGTCCAAATGAGACTATCCCAGCTGGAGATGACAGACCACAGCCCCTCATTACGGACGGGACGCATGTACGGAGCCTACATTTGGATTTGTTTTACATTGAGGAGCCAACGATTGGGTTTATCAATAGTGAGTATCAGAAATCCTGATATAAGTTCCAGTGCTCACTAATCTGGCCATAGTGAACGTAGGCATCGACACCTTCTTGTTCTCCGAATTCGCTGCCTCCGCTATATCTAAGGTTTGGGGGGGTGAAGCAAAGCTTCCTTCGACAGAGCAAATGTGGGACACGCATTGGCAGAGGCTGAGAGATGCGGGAGGGGCATATTCACGCCAGTTCATGCTTTATGGGCCCGTGAAGGAGACAGGTGAGCTGAGACTCCGAGTAGAGTTTTGTTGTGCTTAATGTCGTGTATGTCGGTACATTCTCTTAGCTATGATTCGATATATTGTAGGTTGGCTTAACCAGATGCGCTGCGATATGGTGGTCGTCAGGTTGGTGTCAAGTACTTCTACGTGTATCATCGTACTAACAACGTCATATTTCATCAATACGTAGATTGAGATTCCTAGAGAAAAGTGAGTTTTTGTTATTGTAGTGGAGATTTTCTAATCACACTGTCACTACTCAGCCGCCGTGAAATAACCTATCTCTGGAATGCAGCTAAATTCCCAGATTATTTTAGCTCTAGCCACGGCGATGTCGATCCGTTTCCCCATGGTAGTTTTGGCTTGGTAGGCGAAGAGCAGCTTTGGAGGCAGAAGGTCATTGATGAATGGACTCTGATAAAAGACGATTGGTAACGTGCATACGTACGCTGTTAAACTAGACTAGTGATGCTGCTGTGTTGCAAGAAAGTACAACTGCGAAAATTTCCAGTTGAAACAAGGGGAAAAAAGTAGCAAACTCTTAGCCCACCGCGAGGGTCGAACTCGCAGCCTTCAGATTCAAACGTGCCTCATATTATAGACTTTATAAGAGTCTGACGCTCTATCCGATTGAGCTAGGCGGGCACATAGTTTGAGGTCAAAGTATCGTAGCAAATATACGATTGTACGACACACAACTCGTCTCGAAAAATTATTCTCGAAATCTCTATACAATCTATCGCGTCTGCTTCCAGAGTCATAATCGCTGTTCAGCTTCAGTATGGAATGAAGATCCACCACTACGCCGCCTCACATTCAAAATATCATTCCGCATTTCCTGTAACATACTTTCTGTGTCCGCAAAGCGAGCAGTCCATTTACACTCAAAGTGAGGTGGCTGGCTGCGGATAAGTTGGGTATGTATAGGTGGTGTATAAATCTGAGATGAACGTACTTTAGAATATCCCTCCTCTCTATACCTGCTTTCAATAACGACTCTGGTTCAAGCTCGACATTCAGCGCCCAAAGAATCATACATGTGTCGATGAATAATGCGTTGTTTGCGACGTTCATCCCGGGGCATATCCTAGAAAATGGTCAAATGAAGTCTGCTTTCAGAAGACTCGGATACAGAGATGGCTCAAAATTCAAACAAACCTTCGCCCGAATCCAAACGTATAATGCCCCTCAGGTCCACCTAAATCGCTGCGAATTTTCGGCGCACCACTGTTTGAGTACTCGATGAACCTCTCTGGACGAAAGTCAGCTGCATCAGGACCATAGATATCGAGGTCCCGGTTGATCTCCCTAAGTATAAGAAGTGAGCATGGAAAACGGCGCACTTGATAGAGTGCAATTACCAAATATTAGGCATGCATGCAGTTCCTTTGGGAATGAGATATCCTTCGTACCAGTCATCCTAAAAGTTTTTTAATCGTACCATCATCGGCGAATAGAACATAACAAAATGAACCTCCATCAAGCGATGTGGAAGTCCCAGTGGAATCACAGGCTGCCATCGCAAAATCTGCAAATGAAAGGAGACGGAGGGCCTTGAGCCGACATATTTAGCAGAGATATCTTCAACAATCACCTCTCGAACCATTGCCTGAACATACACTAATTCTTCCATGTCACCGAAATTTGGTATCCTACCCCGCCCTACAACGCGATCAATCTCTTCCTGTCCGCGCGCTTGCACTTCTGGGTAGAGCGTCATAGCATATATAAGCCAGGAGAGTGCAATCATTGTCTATTTGAACGCAGTCATGTTCAAAATGGCATAAGACTTTTGACGTAGAATACACATACCGTTTCGCCTCCAGCAAGGCTATTTGACCAGGTCACAATCAATACTTGAGAAAAATGTGAAAATTCTCACTAAAGCATCCCAGCAATCCACGCATTCTCTTTTTTTTCGACTCAGGCTCTGTCGACTCGGATACACGGCCAAGCTCGGCGAACTTGGAACATAAGCTTGCTTTTTGTTCGTGATTCTCCCTCTTGCGTTCTTTTCATGAGCTTGGATAGAACGTTGAGAAAAAGGTAAGCGTACTTACCGAATCTTTGTAGTACTTTCTGAACGTCTCATCAAATATCTTATGATCCCTCTTCGCGTCACTTTTCCACTTGGCCATCCCGGTCCAACTCGGGATCCAGTCCAAAATCGGCAACAGCTCGACCAAAAATGCTCCGGGCAGTGAAGCATGCGTGAATCGTGCGGCAATGCTGTTCAAAGAGCTCAACATAGGGTCGGAAAGAGTGAGTGGTGGCATGCCGTAGATGATTGATACGATGGCGGAGGCAGAGGAACTATGAAGAAAAGTGAATAGTAGTAATTAAGCGACTAGATTCAAATGAATAGCTGGTACGTGGGAGCATGTACTTACCGTTCGATATTCGCGACCATTGGCGTCTTAGATTTTTTGATTGATTGCTCGGGGGATAGTGATAGCAAGTCGTGCGCCAGAAGAGTAGCTTCGTCTGCTTGAACCTGATAGTAGTCCTTACTAACCTGGGGGTTAAAGACCGAGTGCATCGTGCGACGCATTGCTTGTAGTCTGCATGACAGAAAGAGACGAAAACCGTTGGTAATCCGGATACACGCGATTATCAAAACTCACGTTTTCCCGTATGATGTCAAGAACACTGTATACGGCGCACCTAGGTGCTCCAATACCACAGTCTTCGGCCTATCGGAATAGATCGCAGATCGACGATCCAAAAGCTCAGTGGCTGACGCTCTGTTGTTGAGTACAACTACATCTTGGCCTGCGAGGTTCAGGTAGACGAGCGGACCTATATTGCACCAGAATTTGCAGATGAGGGTCGAACTAGGCAGAAAAATAAACGACATACCGAATTCCCTACTAAATTTCCCGAACGTGAACCATAGTTTTGTTTTCGGGTGATCTCCAGCTGAAAAACGTTGCCGAGAATTGGTATACCTCTCGGACCTGGAGGTAGTCTTGTTCGTGTTGAAAAAGACCATCGAAGCAGAATAAGGATGCCCAGTCCGGCTGTAGCTGAGTACAGAGCTGTCGAAAGATCCATGTGTAGTCGCGGTCAGAGAGAAAGAATGAGGGAAAAAAAGAAACTTTATTACACTGCACCCCAATAAATACGACAGATTTGACTTTGATCCTACTCGGTTTGCGCCAATTTTATGTACAAAAATAACAAGCCTCTAGCAAGATTTATGTACCTCGTTCCGAGCGCACGTCAGATTCCGAATTCATCAAGATATCATCCCGCATTTCCTGCAGCAGTATCCGAAAATCGAGGAGTCCATTTGCATTCAAAATGAGGTGGATGACTGCGATTTACTTGGGCATCGATATCGAGTGGGCTTAAAGATAAAGAAGCGTACGTACTTTAGAATATCGTCGTCACACCGGCTCCAACATCGGTTCAGGTTCCACTAGCTCGATATTCAATGCCCAGAGGATCATAGATAGATCGATGAATAGCGAGTTTTTTGCGACGCTGATTCCAGGATATGCCCTAGTAGGATTTCTGTTGGAGCTTTGGATAAGTTGAAACGAAATTCGAACGAAGTTTCGTCCGAATCCAAAAGAATAATGCACTTCAGGCCCGCCAAAATCAGTCCGAATTTGGGGCTTCCCATCGGATGATACTCGACAAACCTCTCTGGAAGGAATTCATCTGCATCTGGGCTATAGATTTCGCGGTCGCGGTTGATCTCCCTGGAAAGAAATACGTCAGTACGAGAAAAAGAGCTAGACTTGAAGGACAAAAGTAATTGGCTATACATGTGGTTCCTTTGGGAAAAAGATATCCTTCGTAGCAGTCATCCTAAACAATATAAGTATGTCTGAGCGAGTGTTTTCATATTGATATAGGAAAGACGAAACGTACCTCCGTCAGATGATGCGGAAACCCTAATGGACCTGCTGGCTGCCATCTTAATATCTGCGAATAATCCAGATAATAAGTCGGCATGCCTTAGAGCTACTATAAGATAGTGAGAACCCACCTCTTTTATCAGGGCTTGGACATACACTAGATCCTCCATGTCACCAAAATCCGGCACCCTTCCTCTTCCTACAACTCGATCTACCTCGTCTTGACCTGTTCTTTGCGCCTCCAGGTAGAGGGTCATAGCGTAAAGCAACCAGGAGAGGGAGATCATGGTCTGTAACATCATAAGTCAGCCAAATAAAACTGCGTGAGATTGGAGCACGCTGTCAGCAGCAGCAAGGCTAATTATCAAGATGGAAGTGAGATCCTCACGAAGGTTCTAGTTGGGGGCGAAAACTTACTACAACAATTCAGTGAACCAGACGTTCTCCTTCTCCGTCAATCCCGAGTCCTCATATTGCTGTTCTAGTGCAGCCATTTTGGAACATAAACTTGGTGGCTGTTTCTCTCTTTGTTACGTCTTCAGTTGAGTGGATTGTGAAAATCCCACCGCATTCTTATAGTACTCTCTAAAAATCATATCAAATCTCTTATTATCTCTCTTCACATCACTCTTCCACTTTGCCATCCCAATCCAGCTCGGGATCCAATCCAACGCTGGCAATAGCTCAACCAAAAAAGATCCGGGGAGGGCAGCAGCAGTGAATCGTGTCAATATATTGTTCAAGGTGATCAACATGGGATCGGAAGCAGTGAGCGAGGGTATGCCATAGATGATTGAGACGATAGTTGTGGCAGATTCTTAAAGGGAGCATCTTAAATGGACAAATCCAGATACGCACCGTTCAATGACAGATATCAAGCTCTTCTTGCCCGGTAGAGGGTGTTTTCCAGTAAGCACGTCCACTGGCTTACCGTACGATTCCTTGGACGATGATAGTGATAACAGGTCGTTTACGAGGAGAACCGCTTCATTCGCTTGAATCTGATGGTAGTCCTTGCTAACTGAGGGATAAGGACTGAGTGAGTCGCGCGTCGCATTGTTTTAAATCTACAATGCAACACAAGGCAGAGAAATGCCAGTTTCTCTCACAAAGATAGAATTAAGGCTTACTTTTTTGTATGAGAAGCCATAAACAGCGAAAAGACGCACCCAGGTAGTCCAAAACTACACATTTTGGTCTGTCAGAGTAAAGCGTGGATCGACGATCCAAAAGCTCCGTGGAACGGGCTATATTGTTGAGCAAGACCACATCTTGGTCTGCAAATTTTAGGTAGACGATAGGACCTAGTTCATGGCTTAATTTGAGCTTTACTGTTAAAGTAATAACACGATACTTATTCATACCATACAGCTTTCCCCAATTACCGAACGTATGCCATAGTTTTGTTTCTCCATCGGAGCCTACTTGAAAGATATTCCCCAATAAAGGTAATCCTCTTGGGCTTGGAGGGAGTCTTCTTCGGGAAAAGTATCTTGAGAGAGATAGGATGAAGATTCCGAACGCAGCTGTATACAGAGCCGTAGAAACAGTTACTATCATTTTCCCGGCCACTGCGATAAGGATTCTGAGAGGCGAAGAAAGAGGAACAGATGAACTGACATGATTCAGTTGTGACTGCAGAGGACATCGGAACTCCCAAACTTTGTCCGGAATAGCGTATTCGAGGCCGAAATATCTGCTTCCCTATCCTGTTATAGCTCGGCATATCCACGGGGAGGTGTTTAAGCGGTCAGATCAGTCCATACTTTCGCCCTTAAT